AGGCCGCACCAATTCAATTTTTCGTTTAACATAACCCCTTCCCCCCTGTTTTTGGATTTTTTATGTAAAAAAAATACATGTAATTTAGGCCGGAATTATACAAATCTTTAAGTATTGGCCGGAATTATCATTCAAAATTTTTGCTCACTCTTTTGGTCAAAATTTTGGCCAATATTAATGATAATTCTGGTCATGTATTGTATTTTATGTATTATTTTTTGTCCTCCCCCCCCCTCCCCTCTAGATTGGGGCCCTTATGTTATGTTAAACAAAGAATTGGCTTGGAGCAGCCTTATTGTTAATTTTACTATGTAATACAAATTTTTATAAGATTTACTAGTAAAATTGTTGATTTTCAGGCTATATAAAACTTTATGAATTCTCAATGAAATTCAGTCAAAATTTTTTTATTTGAAAGCGAATCAATTGTAGCTTTCATGTATTAAAAAATAAAGAAAATTTTCTAAAATTTTAAAGAGTTGACCCATTGCTGAAAAAAAGTGAGAATTTTATAATTTTTTATATTATTTTGCAATGAGAAAATTTTTTTATATTTATTTTAATATATAAAAACTATCTACAATCAACTTTCAAATAAAAAAATTCTGGCTGAATTTTATTAAAAATTCATAAATTTATATGCAACGTGAAAATTGCTATGTAAATTTTGTCAAATCTGGTAATTTATTGTAGGGAGTGTATAATAAAATATATTAAAAACATATTAAACATATATGCTAATCTACACCGTAACTCTAAATTTTTGAGATAACTCCAAATTATTATAGCCAATAATAATGATGGTTAATCATCTAACACATTTAGCATCACTAAAAATTAATATGCAGTATTTTTCAGATTTTCTGTTATTCATAGTACTAAAGTGATCTGTTGCACAATTTTTTAACATCAACTTTTTTATTTTACGCGTTTTACTGTATTTCAATGTCAAATTCTAAGCAAAGACCTTATGAGCAGGAAAACTATTCTGCTTCACCTGAAATAATATATTATGGTGACCAGAAATTTAACTATACTGTTATTCAAAAAAGTGTCTACCCACCAGTTGCGCAATTGAAATTTACAGAAGCACCTAATTATTTTCCTGTGTCTTATAATTATATTATCAAAACTACCTGGGCCGGTCTAATAACTGTCAAATTATTTAATGTTCCATATATTATATAAAAAGTAATTCACATTACTTAATTTGTTTTAAAAATAATTTTCAGCACCAAGTTGTTTTAGTTCAATCTACATTTGATGCTTCTGTTGAATTACATAATGTAAGTTTTAATTCAATTATATTTTTATTTTTTGTATAAACTCGCAAAGATAATAACTTCAAATAAAAAAACTGCAGTTTCTGGAATTCATCTCTATAGACTTCAATTAAAATGTATTAATAAAAATCGCAAAAGCAAACCATAAGTAAGGTTGCTTGTCTAAACCTCTTCAAAATCCTATGATTAGTTTCATCAAAATTTTACTATAGATTTATTATAGTTTCAGCAGAGTTTCAGCAGTTTCGGCATTTATAATAAGTTTCAGCAGTTTCGCCTTTCTTCAAAATTTTGCCAGTTTTTTAATATAACTTTAATATAGTTTAGGCAGAATTTCGCTTTTTGGCGAAACACCATCTTGCCTAAACCCTAGGTTTCGGCAAGCAACCTTAACCATGGGCATTAAAACTACATGATGAATCAAGTAAAATTACACAAATCAGACATGCTAAAAGTCTTGCAAAATGTGCACAAATAAACTTTGAAAATTCAATTTAAAATTACTACAATCCTAAAGACCGCATTGTCTTAAAGACATTGGAGTTTACTGTACAAAATGAAGATTATTATATAACATTTGGAGAAAAAAACCCTAATAAGCAAAAATAAAAATTGCAATCAGTGGTTCGTATACAAGATGTAGAAAATGTTCCACATAATGCATATCGCTATTTTGCAGCTATGGAATCAAAATTACCTTGGGAGTATGCTATTTCTTAAACTTGCCAAGAGATTGATGCACACATGAAACAATTAATACCAATTAATTTTGTTGACTTAACTCCTAATATTACACCCATTTTTTCAGAAAACCCTGATATAACTGATCTGATAATTGTTGAGCAAGTTAACAGTGCAATTGGTAAAGGTGCATATCGAAGTATTAAAAAAATTCTTAAATATATAGTACCAGCATATATTCAAAATGAAAAATTAGATCCAGCATCGCCAATTATTCATTTTCGTATCTCTGGTGATGGTCATAATGTTATACAAAAGGTAAAACACGTTATGATCACTGTAGCATTATTAGATGATTCAGCAAATCTTTTTGGGCCAAATTACCATTATACAGTTGTTCTTTTTCCAGGAACTGAAAATTATTCAACCTTAAAAATTGCTGCAAATGCTCTTATTCAAGAATTGCAAGAGCTAAGCAGTATTGGAATGGTTATTGATAATATAGTTTAAAACTTTAAGCTTTATTTTAGCTCTGATTAGAAGTTTTTTGCCATCTGCTTGGGTTTTAATGTGACAAACTCCAATTATTTTTGTCCATAGTGTGAGATAGCTAAGAATCAACGTAAAGATAGGCAAACTGAATAGATAATTAGTAAAAAGATAAGTATTTTGAATGAAAATCCAAAAGCATATCCAGGTTATCACTCACCTCCACTTTTTAATATGATTTTACTTGACCATTATGTGCCAGATAAACTTCATATTATGTTGTATATTACTGATCGTTTATAGAAATTAGTGCTACTAGAAATCAAAAATGAGGGATTATTTAATGATATAACTTGAAATATTATAATTAAAAAAATGGAAACCTTAAAAATCCATTTTGAATTTTAGAAGATTTGTGATACTGATGATAATTGGTGTTATACTTCACTGATAAAAAATGATAAGCTTTGTCGGTGTTCTTCAAAATTTAATTTGGCTAAGCTTTTTAATCCAGAACGTGCTGTATTAATTAGAAGTTTATGGAATGGATTTGCTGAATTGTATGATCTTTTGGAAAAAAAAGAAACAAATCCACACTATTTTTGCTTAAAAGCAAAAGAATGGTATGAGTTATTTTTAAAAAAAACTGTAGTAAATCCCGAGACTAATATTATTTTAGTACAAGGACTTTATCGATCTTCAGATTTAATTTCTTATATTCATGTCTTAGTATCACATATTTGGGAATTTATGTTTAAACATCAAAAGTGGGGATTAAATTCTTTTTTGTGCAGTGCTGTCAAAAAAAAAAATCATAATCATATTTCTTATTTTTTTCGTAAAACTCTTAAGAATAGTGGAAAGTTTCAAAATAAAACTTCAGCTATTCGAGAGATTATGGAACATGAAAATTGGCTTTTTTTTTATACTCAAAATAATATTCCTCTTTCATATTCTAAACCTCAATATATTCATATTTTATAGATTTTAATGTTTTATATAGAATATTTTTGTAAATATATTAACATTTTTTGGCAATTATTGCAATAAAAAAAAATATTATGTATTTATTTATAAATCAGTTTGACAAAATTCGCATCACTCTATAATAAGTTTAAATTTATTTTTGCCGTTGTACTTAAAATATATTTAGAAATCAATTTTTATTTATTATATACAGTCATAACTTGATATAACGATTCGGGATAAACCGATTTTGGCCCATAACGAACTTTTTTCTTAAACCAAAACCATCTATAATCAATTATATCACTATATACCGACTTTATTATAAATTTCGCGATATTACATATAACGAAGTTAATCATAAAACCAGTCATACTTATTTATTCGCGATAAACTGATACCATACTAATTCTTGCCTGAATTAACTTAGTCTCTGCCTGCATTATTCAACGCAGCAGACCACCTATTCTCAATTTCGGTGCATCTATTTACAAGATTCTGTATGATAACATTGTATTGAACTATTGGTATTATAAATACATTTTAAGGTGATAAAATTTGACTTTATATTGATATACTTTTTTAGATATACCGGTTTTATACTTTTTAATATATCAATCGGTATAATAGAAATATTTGATTTATCGAATATTCGATATAACGACCCAAGATAGCTTGAACGGAGGGTTCGTTATATCGAGTTCTGACTGTATATATACATGTGATAAAAAATTTTAATAAATTTCCTTACTAATAAAACAATTTAAAAATTCTATAAAAATATCTATTTAAATTTGTTTTATTTAAAAATGCATATATATAAAATCCGCTTCACAATAATTTTCTTTTGCATTCTTTTTAGCTTTAATCTAAAGTTCTGAACAGGTCGGTTTAGTCCAGATTATAGACAGTTCAGATTAGAGTCAAAATCTGTAAGAACTGAACTGAAAAACTGGCAGTTTGGTTCAGTTTAATCCGATTTTTTATAAAAATGTGATAAATCAAATAGTCACCCACCTAGTGATCGTATAAAGTCGATCCATATATCATTGGATTCGTCTTGACGAGACGTGTTGAATGGTAGTAAGATCATATCTCTACCATCTATAGATCACATGTTAATCCATGCTAAATGATTTATCAATAATTGGAATTATCAAACTATTTATCGATGCTAGAGATATGATCTTAGCGTCATTCAACGCATCTCAGTGAGATGAATCCAATGAATATAAATTCGTTCGTGTATGGTCACTGGATGGCGAATAATGTCAAGTTTCACATTTTTTTAAAATTTTTGAACATTAAAAATTAAAAATTCTGATACATAAATTTATTTGTCGTCTAATAGTCGTACAAATATGAATTAGAACTCATTGGATTCGTCTCGATGAGACAAGTCGAATGGTGATGAGATCATATCTCTAGCATCAATAGATCGTAAGTTAATTCACACTAAATGATTTATAAAAAGTTGGCATTAGCAAGCTATTTATCGATGCCAGAGACATGATCTTACCACCATTCGACTCATCTCATTGAGACGAATCCAATGAGTCCTAATTCATATTTGTAAGATTATTGGACAACAAATAAATTTATGTATCGGAATTTTTAATTTTTAACGCTTAAAAATTTTAAAAAAATGCGAAACTTGACATTATTCGCCATCCAGTGGCTGTACACAGACGAATTTATATTCATTGGATTTGTCTCACTGAGACACTAAGATCATGTCTCTAGCATCGATAGATAACTTGATAATTCCAATTATTGATAAATCATTTAGCATGGGTTAACATGTGATCTATCAATGCTAGAGATATGATCTTATCACCATTCAAAGCGTTTCATCGAGACAAATCCAATGATATATAGATCGACTTTGTATGATCACTAGGTGGGCGGCTATTTGATTTTTCGCATTTTTATAAAAAATCAGATTAAACTGAACCAAACCACCAGTTTTTCGGTTCTAATACTCAAACTGAACTGAACTGAATTTTGAGCCGGTTTCAGATCAGTTTTCCAGTTTAACCTGAACTGTTAGGAGCTTTACTTTAATCTTCCATTCAATAGTGACTTCTTCAGGATTATATTTTGATTTGTGCCTTTTAGTGATTATACCTTTAGCACAATTGGCCACAATAGCTAATGGATTATTTTTTAAATGTTGAGGCAGATTATCAAACAAGACAACGTAGGTTTGTTATTCTTCATTATAAAATCTTTGACCTCATAATGGATTATTCAAGATTTCACTTAATGTTTGATATCCAATAGTACCTCAGAAAATACATTTGTAAATATTTTTATTGCTATGAAGCCTATGATGGCAAATATAAAGCTCCGAACGGTTCAGTTCAGTTCCATTTTTCAGTTCTTTTCTGATTGAATAGAATCTGTTTTGCGTAATAACTTGCCATCCAGTGATCGTAGAAACCCGATCAATGGCTCGTTAGAATCGTCTCGTCGAAACGGTTTGAATGGTACTAAAATCATCTTTCTAGCATTGATAGATGGCAAGTTAATTTTGCCAATTTTTCAAAAAATAACTCACCATCTATCAATACTAGAAAGATGATTTTAGTACCATTCAAACCGTCTTGACAAGACGATTCCAACGAGCTATTGATCAGGTTTTTACGATTACTGGATGGTGAGTTATTGCGCAAAACAGATTCTATTTAATCAGAAAAGAACTGAAAAATAGAACTGAACTGAACCGTTCGGAGCTTTAGGTAAATATATTCTTTGAAAATATCAAAAAAACTGATGCTCAGTACAAGCAAGAGATACTAATTGGCAACCTTCCTTTTTGAATATATTTGGAAGTTTGCAATGAATTAAATAAACCAGAATATTTTTAAAATTTTTATTATTTATTTCTGACAAATTATCTAAATTATTTCATGAAATGTTATATTTTTTCATAATAGTCAAATGCCGTGAAAGTCCGCTTTACTTCTTGAATATTTTTTGACAAGTGAAACAGGAAAATTCTGATGTAGTTATGAGTGGAATAGTGCTTGACATATTAATATTACCACAATACCACTACAATAATCTGAAAAGTTAAGCATAACGATAAGAATACTTTTTAAATACTTTATAAATATTATTTTATAAATTTTTAAAAGTTACCATTAGTAATAGTCAATATTGAAATCACGAGATGCCAGTTACCTTCTGCTACTCAAGCTCATCAGTTTTTGGTTCTGCTTATCAGTTTGACGTGTTTTTTCATATGTTTTTTTTTTATTTTAGGGTGAGTTCACTAAATTTGATCATTTGATTTTTTTTTTTACTAATTGATGTAGTATAATGTTGATCAAAATTATTATGATTTGGGGTCTAAAATTTGATCCAATTTTGATAATTAGCTAATATGATTTAATTTTTATATATGTTTTGTATATAGTCATACTTCTTTATAATTATGGAAAATGGCTTGTCTCAAATATGTGACTATAAAGAGAGTTGACTGTAATCACAGTAATATAAAGAATATATTAAATAACTTGGCATTTAATAATTGTACAAAAGATGTACCATAGCTTGTTAGAATCATCTCACTAAGATGAATCGAATGGTAGTAGTTTTATTTTTTTATAATAACTGGCTAATGAGTTATTCAACAAAATGTTTAACATCGGCATTATAATATTTCTTGATTTACATTTACTGTGCCATTTAACATTTTGCTAAATTTTTCAGTACCTAATGATTATAAAAAAGATGATTAATAGCTCATTGGAATCGTTTCATCAAAATGAATTGAATAGTAGTAAGATCATTTCTCTGTGATCAATATTAACAGAATTACTACTTAAAAGCCATTTAATATTTTTTAATTTTGAAAATTGATCTAGTAATTGGATTTTGATGTATCTTATACCATTAGATTCATTTCATCAAGACGAATTAAATAGTAATAAGATTGTCTCTTTAGGATTAATATTAGCAGAGTTATTACACAAAAACTATTAATATTTTTTAATTTCAAAAATTAATCTAGTAATTGGATTTTGATGTATTTTATACCATTAAAACTGTCTCATCAAGACAAATCAAATGGCAGTAAGATCATCTCTTTATGATTAACTGAATATTGACGGAGTTACAATATAATAAAGTTTTAAATATAATTCTAACCAAAATTATGTTAATTTTTAGCCAAAATTTTGATATAGGCAAATATAAGAAATTTTTTATATAGTCACATCTCTTTATAATCACCAAATATGAACTGTCCCAAATGTGTGACTATAAAGAGAGTTGACTGTACTATGAATAAAATAGATATCATTAGTCTTTCAATAATCTTTTACAGATAAAAATTTAAAAATACCTATATATATAATGAGAGTAAACTATATTTTTAGCTCATTGACACTTAATTCTATCCATTTGTAACTCTTGTTACTTTTTTCAGATGAATTACTTTCTTTTGTAATTTTGTAATAAACATAAATATTCATATTTTTAACAATAAATTCAATTTATTGTGAAGAAAAAAATTGAGAAAAAATAGAATATTGGATAAGATTTTCAGATTGAAGGAAATTTGGTAATATTTAAGGTTGCTTGCCGAAACCTAGAGGTTTAGGCAAGATGGTGTTTTGCCGAAAAGTGAAATTCTGCCGAAACTATATTAAAGTTATATTAAAAAACTGGCGAAACTTTGGAGAAAGGCGAAACTGCNAAATTCTGCCTAAACTATATTAAAGTTATATTAAAAAACTGGCAAAATTTTGAAGAAAGGCGAAACTGCTGAAACTTATTATAAATGCCGAAACTGCCGAAACTCTGCCGAAACTATAATAAATCTATAGTAAAATTTTGACGAAACTAATCGTAGGATTTTGAAGAGGTTTAGACAAGCAACCTTAATAATATTACATCTAAATTATATAAAGGATAAGTATATTGATAGAGTGAAAATTCTAATTCTAAAAAAGATTGCAAATTTTTATTCTTTTTTTTTAATCTTTTATTAGTTTTAGAATTACTTTTAT